CGTTTGTATTCATATCTCGAGTTCGACAAAAGCTATTAACATGCGGTTTGCGCCATTTTGTTACGAATTTAATCCAGTTCCATTATAGTTTACAATAAATAGGTGTTTCTATTAAATATGTTAAAGAAAAACGAATTTTAATTTTTTCTCTTCGAAAGTACCCTCTACCTATGACAATTAAAACTAAATGCAATTATTTTATAGTAAATGTAAATTAATTTATCCACACTCTTTCTAATGATACTAATTTAGTTAAAATCGGTTAATCAAATCCAAAGTTATAGGTATTTATCCAAAAATATTTCCCCACTCTACCCCACCTTTTATTTAAAAAAATAAAAAAAGTACTTGAAGAACTTTGTGAAGAATTAAGGCCTCTTTCTAGTTTACTTATTTAACACTTGGTATAATTGGGCATATTTATAAAAAATCTGCGAAAACTTTCCAGCGATTTCTCTTGGCCACTTTTACTAAGAAATTTTTTTCTCCTAATCGGTCCAATAAGAAATCGGCTTATTGGACCACCCGGTACTTGTTCTAAATAATGATATTTAAAATATACCCATTTTAGACGGTTTTTAGATAATTTCTCAAAAACAAATTAACCAAATTAATCTCAAAAGTCTAAAATTAAAGGTAAAACTTTAGCGAGAAAATAGTTGAATTTTAATAACGCTACATGTTGTTATTTATCTTTGAGAATAAAAAACACCGTTTTTTGGGACTGTACAAACTCATATCTCCGAAACCCCAATGAATTACTGGTATCTGGTATTATATTATTGTCTGGTATACAAAATTTTTTTACTTCTACCGAATATTTTAGTTTGTTTAACATTATTTTTTTTTCTTGCACAATCCTTCCAGACGTAATCATCAATATGCGTCATATTGGACCTTAATTTAATTAATTGCGGATTCGAGTTTCTTGTTGTGACATCGGTACAGAGACCGCGAAAAGAACCTGCCCCCAATCAACTTTTCAGAGGTCAAAGTAATCCTCAACAACAAATATTTGTTTTACAGTGATCGAACTAATATATTATCAGGTTATGAAATACATTGTCTACTTTTATACTAATACATATTTAATTTTCGTACTTTTAACTATCTTATTATTTGTTGTCTAATTAAAACCTTGCATTTTCACATACACTTTATAATTCTTATGTAGAATACATAGTATCATTCAATAGTTGATTCGATTTTGAAGTATTTTAGATCAAACAGTTAGAAATAAGTTTAAAAAAGCTGAATTAAGTCCAAGAACACTCTGTCGAAAATATTTTTGCTAAGATATGACAAAATATTCCACTCAAATTTTGCTTGTTAGCATAGCAATCCTTATTGCTTGCTGGATCCTGAATTGCTCCAAGATTTGTCGCTGTTACCGTCTTTTGATTTTTAGTAACCTAAAGTGAGCTGCAAGTCCATCTAACCGCCTAATTTGAAGTCAACTTTCGCTTCTTTATCATACAGCTGCTCCAGGGCCAGCTTATTAGATATGCTGTTGTCTGGCATTCGTGTTATGTATTCAGCTCATCTAAGTTGCTGTGTTTTAACATACGTTACGACGTCTAGTTCATCAAAGAGTTGGTACCGAGCCAAAGTAATATCTTTGCCACTGCTCCTGGTCGTTTATAGCTCCAAATATTCGCTGGACTATTTTACGCTCGAACTTACCCAAAATTCTTTTGTCCTTCTGCATTAAAAGCCATGTTTCTGCCATATGTGTAAGGATCTGCCTTAGCAGTGTTGTATATATAATAATTTAAGTTTTTCTTTGGATGATCCGTAAGTGGAATTGTTTTTGGAGTCCACAGTATGCCTCATTTGTAAAGCTTATTCTCCTTTTGTTTTTTTTTTACTTGTTTTGTTGGTATTAGTTACTAGAGTGCCAATATATGTGCAGCTGGCAACATGTCCAAAGACTGCTTCCCGTTCCTTATTTGAGCATAGCAATTAGTAACTTCAATAATAATTAAAAGAACTCACATACGTCTAGAGGCAGATTTGGTGACTATCTATTATGGTTTTCGTCAGGAAACCTAGACTAAATAAAATTCCAAAGGAAATCCCGGGGTATCTTTTAGTGACCCAGGTGCACTTCCTAGTTTGGTGGTAGCTTAATTTTAGTGTTTCTTCTGTTTGTATGTGTAATCTGAAAAGTTCTGTTTGTAGCGATGTCACCACCAAATATTTTTTCGTGTTTTGTGGTGAGTGTAAAATCGAGAAAGAAAAGGATGCAGCAAATATGCTGAGATAAAAAAACACAAATGGCGACATTGACAAAGGGGCATTATATCATATCTGCGTTATTATTGGTCCGATTGAAGCGTGTAATGTGTTAAATAAAAGGGAAGGAAATATCAAATATATTAAGATAAAAAACAAACAACGCAACTAGCAAAAGGGCACTACACGGTATCTTTATTATTATTGAACATATAGCGACATACGAGACATCATAGGACACTTCTTCTTCTTCCTTCTTGTATGTATGCTTTAACGCCTGTTTCTGCTTCAATATTAGCCTCCTAAATTGTTTAAATTGTCATATCATCTTTTTCTTGGTTTGCCAATACTTCTTCTTCATCCATTTCGTGACTTACATCTTGCTATTTGTACTATCCTATCCTCTGCCATTCTATCAATGTGTTCGTTCGACTCCTGTTTCCCTTTTGTCACCCATCCATTTGTTTTCTATTATGTTTTCGATTCTCTACCTATCCAACAGACTTTTCACTGATATTCATCGAAGTATTTTCATCTCTGTTGTTTCTAGTAGTCGTCTCGTTTTATATGTGTCATATCTTGTCTTCACGGTATATGTTAATAAAGGTCTAATTGCTGTTTTATAGATTCTTGTTTTTGTGTCTTGTCTTAGGTGTTTGTTTCTCTAGATTGTATCATTAAGAGATCCCGCCAATTTAATTGCTTTTAAGCTTTGTTGTCGTACTTCTTCTTCAACATCTCCGTAACTAGTTATATCTATGTCCAGATATCTAAACCCTGCTTCCTACTTTGTTATTTGCCCCTTAATTTCGATTTTACATTGTAGTGGGTATTTAGATGTTGTCATACGTTTGGTTTTTTCTGCTGATATTATCATAATGTATTTCTTGGGTGTTGTACTGAAGACATGTATTATTCTTTGGAGCTTGTCTTCTGTCTCGGCGATTAACGCGTCGTCGTCTGCAAAACATAATATTTGGATTTCGTTGTAGATTTGGCATTCTGTAGCCATGACCTTTACGTAATGTTTGTGTTATTTATCCATTGGACACTATGGATATAAATAGATTTACTGTAAGACAAATTTTGATTTATTGACTTGGAAAAGGCCTCTGGATATGTACAAAATAAATAATTGACCGACATGATCCTAACATGCGATATAGCAAATAAAAGGGATAAAAGGATGAAATAAAAAGGAGGATATAACAAGGCGACTAGCAAAAGGGCATTACACAGCATCTTTGTTATGAATGAATGTATGGCGATATACGAGATATCTTTTTGATTTATTGATCTGAAGAAGACCGCTGACTGATTACAAAATAAACAACAAGCTGAGTCCTAGCATATCGCACATCAAATAAAACGACTTAAGACGTATAGATATATAAATATATAGACGTATAAACGCATAGACTTTAGAGTAACAAATCATACTTTTTATTTATTTGGTTTACATGTAAGAGGTTTATTATTTTAAAAATTTAACGAGTTAGGTAAATGATTGGACCTTCCGTCATTATTATCAAGTTATTAGTTATTTCATAAACGCTGAATAACAGAAGAGGTCCGATCAAAACTTCTTCTTCTTCTTCAAGTTCCACTCCTATCGGAGATTGGAAATCATTCTGGCAATTATAATTTTATTGGTTACTCGCCTGAATAGTTCAATTGAACTGCATCCAAACCACTCACGGAGATTGCGTAGCCACGAGATTTTACGTCTTCCTACGCTTCTTCTACCTTTGATTTTACCCTGCATTATATTCCTTAGTAGTTCGTACTTTTCACCTCTCATGATGTGCCCCAAGTATTCCAATTTCCTGATCTTTATGGAATTTAAAACTTCGCATTGTTTTCCTAGTTGTTCGAGAACTTGTTCGTTTGTTTTGCGATCCATCCATGATATTTTCAAAATGCGTCGATAACACCACATTTCGAATGCTTCTAGGTTTTTAATGTTGGATTTTTTAAGTGTCCAAGCTTCAACTCCATACAAAAGGGTAGAGAAAATATAACATCAAAGCATTCTTATCCGGAGCGATATATTGATATCGCGATTACAAAAAAGTTTTCTCATTCTATTAAAAGTTGACCGCGCAATTTCAATGCGGCATCTTATTTCTTTTGTCTGATCAGTATCTTCTGTGATCCATGCTCCAAGGTATTTGTACGAAGATATTTGTTCAATTTCTGTATTATCTAGTACTAGCTTAACTTTGATGTTTTGTGCTTTTGTAAATACCATGAACTTGGTTTTCTTCAAATTGATTTTTAGTCCATAATCGTTGCAATATATATTTAGTTGTTCAGCAAGGTGTTGCAGTTCTTCTAGTGTTCCTGCCAAAAGGACGGTGTCGTCAGCATATCTTATGTTATTAAGTGGCTCACCGTTTATTATAAGGCCCTCACTTATCTCGGCAAGCGCTAATTCTGAGATGGCTTCACTGTATAAATTGAATAACAAGGGTGATAAAATACACCCTTGGCGGACCCCACGGCGAATCTGGATATCCTTGGTCAGTTCGTTTTCAACTTTCACTTTTGCTGTTTGATTCCAATAGAGGTTACAGATGATTCTAATGTCTCTACTGTCTTCTACAAAACTTCTTGCAGTTTGCCTAATGAAAAATCTATTCTGCGAAGAAACAAGAGAATGAGCAATTTCTGCTTCACTTAGATACTGCAATTTAATTATGTTCACGTCCAATAATTAAGTTGTAATATTAAAAATAGGTAACGATTACAACAATAAAACTTACCTTAAACAACGATCGGAAAGTTGTAAACCATAAAGAATAGATGAATTTGTTGGTAATAAACTGGGCATGTATATTTGTATTTACTACTCCTGGATCATAACAATTTGAGGAAATGTTGAATCTTCTTAGTTTTTTGGCAAAAATATCAGCTGTCGCAGCTAGACAAAATTTTGAGAACTTGTATTGTTCTAATTTTCTTATTACACATTTTTCCAACAAAAACAGGCTATGTAACTGCTTTATTATAGAAGAACTACAAAAGATTAATCGGGCCGATTGCGAATTTTTTAGTAGATCTAAAAATAACAACAGCCGTATTTAAAATAATAAATTTTTGTAACGGTAAAAATAAAAATGGATGGATATTTAAATATATTTAATTAACCACCTTCAAAAAAAATATAAATAATGCATTAACAAGTTATAAATACCCAAATACATTTTAAGAGGTTAACCCACGAGTATACTACATCCAATGTAGTTTCATCTGGAACCCTTTGTACCTTTCAGACCACAGTGAAAATTTATATGCCAGTAGCTGTGGCTTATCCACGATTGAATTGGCAATGCTTTCTATGTGTGTACCAACTTGTGTAGACAGTATGTGGTAAATATTCCAACATAGATTTGTCCTTTAAACCCATAAACATAAATTCACCCATAAACATCTGGACCCTCGCCCAGACAGCCTTATCTATTTCTGTTGACCATTGGTCCTACCAGATCTCCAAACTTTTTTTCTTTCTTGTGTTCCTGAACCTAAAGCTTTGTTGCCCCTTTGGTGCATCCGAACCCTTACATTAACCAGAATATGCATCAGCATAGCACCAGTCACTACTTGTAATGGTTGATACTGCAGCATGTTTTTATATTTCGCTTTGTTGAGAATTTTATGCCACACTGGGGCTCCATATAGTAAGATAAATATGATTGATTCCGACATGGCTCTTTTATGTGGTGTCTGAACGCCATTTTGTTGTCTATTATGATTCCCAAGTATTTTACGGTCTTCTCAGTTGGAGCCTCTGAACTGAAAATTTACGGTTTTTCTGTTCCGTGGTCCCCTCAACATAATTACCTCTGTCTTTTCTACTGCAAGTTTTAGGTCATTTCTCTCTATCCATCTCACAGTTTGTTCTATTGCTTTATTTACTTTGTTTATAACGCCCCAGTTCATATCTTTATATCTTCTATAAGAGCTAGGTTGTCTGCGTGTGCAATAGCCCTTACTCCTTATGTTTTGTGTACTTCTAGTACCCCGTTGTATAAAATATTCCATAGTGTGGGTGCCAGGACTGACGCTTGGGGTACTCCAGTCATTTTCATCTTATTTTTCTTCGATATGCATACGCTTCTTGGCTATAGGTAGTCTTTTATTATATTGGACATATATTCTGGAGTCCCAATATGGTCCCAAACATGAGATCCTAGTTCACTGAGTTATACGCGTTTTTTAGCAATATAACAATATTACAAAGGTTCCAGAATAAAATACTGAGGAACATTGTAAATGCTTCTTTGTACATGGCAAACAATGACCTTCATAAGGGATGAAAACTGTAAACATACCTAATCACATTAATCATCACGACCTTGACAGGAAGTCACGAGTAATGACTTCATAGGCACGAGAATATTGAGACAACCCAGCTCTTCGATACTACGGGCAATCTAAAAGTGGAACCATTAAGGAACATGTTAGAATAGTGCACTATCTTGTTAGTTTAGATAAGAGAAGCTATAAGGTAGGTTGTGAATTTTAAGGAACGATAATAATTAAGAATAAATTTTAATAATTGCTCATTGGTCATTTATGACAAGATTAAAATTGTAACAATCATCAAGATTCTGATGATTATTGGGAAAAAAATAATTTGGATAAAGTTAGACAAAAAACTTAAATTCAGAGATTATTGGTGTAACAATTAAGGTTACAAGAATGATGTTTCTAAAATATATAAAATAAGAAAACATTTGATGTGAAATAATATTATACTTTTTCACCTTTTAGATAATAAGAGCTGCCCACCTGAAAGCAGGCTCTACAATATTTCCCTTTTTATAAAAATACTAAATAAAAAGTTTCAGAAAATTTAAACTTTTAGAGAATCGTTATGTATTGACGAAACTATGGTATCATTTCCTCGCAGACTTGGTAACACATTCGAAAAAGATAGTATGAAGAAACTATGAAGTCAAATTGATGAAACTTTGAGTGACAGATAGATATATGTACCCGATTAAAGTGTACCTGACATTGAAAATTATCGGTCACTTTAAGCGTTGTTATTAGAAAACGGTTCATTCTACAGAAAAAGTGTTCCCCTCAAAACCTTTTCTAGGTTTTAGAGGGGAGGTTTTAGGGCAACTCATAGAGAAAACGTTTTAGGGAAAAGAATGGATTTAAAATTGGTAAACGTTTTTGAATCTTTATGGAGTCCCAAAATTGACATTCTCAGCCAAATTCAGCTTGTTATATAGGTTTACTAAATACTCATAAGTTCACTTTTTCTTTTGAAGACATCTAATTCCCAATAAATAAACGACTACAAATAAATATTAAAGAGCTTAGGCGTAATACATTAGCTTCGGCGAAGTCCTTTGGTCACTCTTATCTTTTTTGTCATTGTTTGTCCAATCTCTATTTAGTTTATCATTTCGTCCTATAATCTCACAGCATAAAACGCTGGAATGTTCTTGTTTACAGCACCTGCCACACCGTGGTAATGGTACACTATCATATGCCTTTTCAAGGTCAATAAATATCATGTGTGTCTCCATATTGATATAATACGTACCTAAGCGTAATTTTAAGTTAATTAGATACATTTTAATAGGAGTTAAATAATTAATGGTTGAAAAGTTTACTTACCCAAAAGCAAATGTGTCAATAAAAATGGACTGTAAAAATTAACTTGCATGGTTAGATTTAAATCATCTGTGCTGAGTCCATTGATAATTGGACCTATACCAGCATTATGAATTAAAATATCAATTTTCTTCTCTCGATTAGTTAGTTTCTCCGCGAACGCCCTAACCGATTGAAAGCTTCCCAAATCTACATAATCAAGGGAAATATTAAAATTGTTAGTTTTTTCGATAAACTTGTTCTTAATATTATTGGACACTATTTTGTCAGCTACAATTACTCTGCATCCTCTTTGAGCAAGTTCTAATACAATTTCGTAACCCATTCCTGAAAAAAATTAAATGGCACATATATTTTTCTGCAATAATGTAATAAACTAGAAGAACATTTTTAACTTGTTAAGCTGTTTGTTCGGGCTGGTAGGCCGTTGTCTTCTGTGATTAGTTCTCGACGTTTCGCCAACACTAGGGGTTGGCATCTTCTGAAGGTGTTACTGCTTCGCTTGTAAGCTGAAACTGACTGGTCAGCTTGTAAGCTGAAAGTGGTCAGTTCTTTCTGATATCTCTTTGAAATATATCTTAATTTAAACGCAGGATAACTACAGAGTGCCATCTTACCAAAATATAATAAAAGCATTTTCTATTTTTCTCCATAATTTGTTCCCTAAGTCGTTCATTGTCCCATTTTAGTTTCATTACTTCAGTTTCTTTAGGTTTGAACTTACTCTGAAGCTTTGAATACTCTTTAAACAAATACTCTTTAAACTTAGGGAATAAAATTATGGAGAAAAATAGAAAACGCTTTTATTAAGTTTTGGTAAGATGGCACCCTGTAGTTATCCTGCATTTAAATTAAAATATATTTCAAAGAGATATCAAAAAGAAAATGAAGCAAATAATACCCACAATTAATAACACTAGTTGTAAAAAATAAAAAGATATAACGGTGCACTACTTCAGGAGGGAGAAGTTAAAAAATAATTCAGGCAGCAAATTGAAGAGAAACTGAAAAGCCAGACAACAGCAAATGATATAGAAAGCAGATGGGTACAACTAGAAGAAAAAATTCAAGAAGCAGCCGACAGTATTATCAAGAAACAGACAATGTAAACAAACGGATTGGTATGATGAGGATTGTAAGAAAGCCATTAGTGACCGAAATAAAGCTAGAATAAATAGCATAATAAAAAATAATGAAGAGAGTAAAAAGCTTATGCCGCAAAAAGACAAGAAGCAAAGAAGATCTGTAAAAGGAAGAAGCGGTCAAGTTTAGAGCAGAACCTAGTTCGTATTAAAGAAGATTTTTTACATAAACAAGTCAGGAATTTCTACCAAGAAATAAAACGAGACCGAACCCAGTACAAAACCACATCAGATATCATAAAGATGAAGAGGCATATCTGTTAGGTGGAACAGATGAAAAATTAAGAAGGTGGGCCAATTATTTCGGGAACATATTATGTACGGACGACCAAGATGAAAGAGAACAAACGCAACTGCAAAATGAAGAAGTAAGGGACCCAGATGTAAATGAAAAAGTACCTACCAAGGAAGAAATTATAGAGATCATAAAAAACTTAAAAAACAACAATGTACCTGGTGAAAATGGTATCATTGCTGAGTTTCTAAAAGAAGGTGGAGAAATGGTGCCAGAAAAAATTGCTGAGTTAATACGCGAAGTGTGGATCAAAGAAAAAATACCCAATCAGTGGAAAGAAGCAATCTTATGTCCAGTGCATAAAAAAGGAGACGTTACAGAATGTAAAAAGTACAGGGAAATAGCTCTACAAGATACAGTGTGTAAGATTCTGACCATATCAATTAGAAATAAAATTAAAACAAAAGTTGAAAATTGTCTAAGTGAATATCAAGCAGGTTTTAGAGCAAACAAATCGCTAATAGACCAAATTTTTACAATGAAACAAATTTTAGCTAGCTCATATGAATTCATCCTAACATTACACATGCTCTTTATTGATTTTAGATAAACATATGATACTCTAAAAAGTAATAAAGTATAATGAAGCACTAGAATATTTTGAATTTTCACCAAAAATAGTAAGACTGACTAAATGCATACTCAATGATACTAAAAGTAAAGTCATGTTAGAAGGACGGGTTTCGGATAGCTTTATCACCAATAGAGGTCTGCGATAAGGTGACCCGTTATCAACAGATTTTTTCAATTTGATCTTAGAGAAGATTTTACGCGAATGTAACATCTACACTAGAGGCACAATATATCATCACAGGCATCAATGCATAGCATATGCAAATGATGTTACCTTAATAACAAGGAAACCTGCAAAATTAAAAGAAATCTTTACTAGAATAGAGAGAATAGCCAGAATATATGGTTTGGAAATAAACGAAGAAAAAACAAAATATATGGTAATGAGGAAGAACAAAAATAATCTAGGACAGTCCTTTAAGATACAAAGCCCAAGTAAAGAATATAACTTTGAAGTTGTTAGCCAATTCGATTACTTGGGAGTGACACTAACAAATAGGAACGAAAAGAACCAAAAAATCATAAAAATAATGGCCAAAGGTAGTAAGAGTGCTGGGAGCCTGACTAAGATACTGAGGTCGAAGATAATATCCAGAACAGCAAAAAACGAATATATACAACAGTTATCCGACCCACAGTACTCTATGCTAGCGGGATCTGGACACTAAATAAAGATATGGAAGTAAAATTAGATAGATGGGAACGAAAAATTCTTAGAAGGATATACGGAAGTGTAAAAGAGGGAAACATCTGGCGAAGAAGAACGAATGAAGAAACAATGCAAATATATGGGCAACCAAAAATAACAAGACTCGCTAAAATTCAAAGATTAAGATGGCTCGGATATATAGCAAGAATGAAGGAAGAAAGAGTTCCCAATGAATTAATAAACACGGAGGCTGGTACAAAAAAAGAGACCGTCCCCGAAGAAAATGGTTGGAGTCGACAAAAGAAGATCTGAAGTCGCTATATATATATATATATATATATATATATATATATACGAATTCCTACAACACATTATTAATATCCACCCAAAAATACAGTTTACCATGGAACGGGAGAATAACCAACAACTTCCATTTCTAGATGTGTTAGTTATTAAGAAAGAAGACGAAAGCATAGGACACACAGTATACCGAAAACCAACCCATACTTACAGGTACTTACACGCAGACTCACACCATCATCCTGCACAATTGAATTCGGTAATAAAAACCCTAATAACAAGATCTGAGAAACTGGCAGATGAGGAACATAAGAACGACGAAATGCAGAAAGTCAAGGCAGCTCTAGGAAAGAATGGCTTCTCCATGTATACGATTGAAAAGGCACAGAAATTCCGAAACAAAATCAAAGATCCAAAATAAGAGGAAAAAACAGTCGGAAAGGCTATCCTGCCCTATATAAAGGGTACGACAGACAAAATCAGCAGAATGCTACGTAAAAACAACATAGAAACTATTTTGAACACCGACAGAAAGATCGCAACCATATTACCATCGGCAAAAACAAAAGTTGCATTGGAAAATCAAGGTGTATACAGAATCCCGTGTGAGGACTGCGATAAATCGTACATCGGACAGACAAATCGAAGGATACAAGTTAGACGCAAAGAACATCGAAACGCCATCGAAAGAAAACAGAAAACTTCATCTCTAGCACAACATGCCATCAACACAGGACACAAAATCGACTTCCCTGATTACACAAACGTGTAATCAGGGAAGCCATAGAGATCGAAAAACATCCAAAAAAATTTAAATACCAGAGACAATGCCCAAAGACTCCCAAATACGTGGAAACCAATTTTGCAGAAAAACGTAGAAATTAAAATAGCAAAGAAGACACCGCCCGCTCTGCGCACAGGACCAATCACAAGAAGCGCTTCAAGGCATTTAAACACAATATAAATAAAAAATTTACAATATTTGGGACACGTAATGAGGGGACAGCGATATAAACTGCTAAGCCTGATAATACAGGGAAAGATAAGAGGAGGAAGGAGTATAGGAAAAAGGAGAGTGCCATGGTTGAAGAATTTAAGGGACTGGTTTAAATGCAGTTCTATAGAACTCTTTAGAGCAGCAGTAGATAAAGTAAAGACAGTGATGATGATATCCAACCTCCAATTGGGAGACAGCACTTAAAGAAGAAGAAGTTACGGAGATGTTGAAGAAGAAGTACGACAACAAAGCTTAAAAGCAAGTAAAGCGGCGGAATCTCTTAATGACACAGTCTGGAAGAACAAACACTTAAGACGAGACACAAAAACAAGAATCTATAAAGAAGCAATTGGACGTATATTAACATACACGGCGAAGGCAAGAGCTGACACATCTAAAACGAGACGACTACTAGAAAAAACAGAGATAAAAATACTCAGACGAATATCAGGTAAAAGTCTGTTGGATAGGGAAAGAAGCAAAAACATAAGAAGAGCATGTAATATAGAAGACATGTATTTACGCAGTTAAGAATTTAAAGCTTAAATCAATTACTCACAAATTTTTAATTAGGGGGCATACCCAAAATGAAGGGAATGCTGCACATTCAATAATTGAGAAAGAGATTAAAAAGATATTACGGTCTGGCCCCATTTACGTCCCGGCACAATATGTAACTGCTATAAGAAATGCAAAGAAACGTGGCAATCCTTTCGTAGTTAATGAAATGTCTTATGCAGATTTTATACATATTAAAAATTTAGCAAGCGTAGCAATAAAGAATAATGTTAATGGAGAAGCAGTAAAGTTATCAGATATTAAAGTTATAAAAATTGAAAAAAATGATAATAATGATATCCAAATATTTTACAAAACATCCTATTTTGACGACTATAAAGAAATTGCTCTACAGCGAAACTTTCACCGTATTTGTGACCAGCAAAAATTAAGTCCGTTATATTTTAATAAAATTGAAATATCAGAACGCAAGAAAAATGATATCCAAAGCCTTATTACCGCCAATCTCATTCCTCAATTTTATCATTCCTATTATAATCACATTTTAAAAGAATAAGATAATTAAACTTATTGTAAAAACAATGTTTCTTAGAATTTTAATTTTCTGTTTGTTAACCACTTCTGTTCACAATTTAGTAGTTTGGTTTATAATTGGTTCTATTAAAAATAAAAAAAAAAACGTTTCTTTAACTTTTATTTCACAGTGTACTCCTCAAAATAAATAAGCAAAACATGCAAAATAACAATTAGCAAATATTTTCCAAATCATTCAAAACAAAAATGACACTAAAAACAAAAATCAGTTTTAGCTTAGCTTGTGAAATATTTTGTCAGGATATTACACCAGGCAGGGACGTCAAAAAACTGATACAACAAGAAATATCGGATATCCAACAAGAAACGAAATACGAAATTGCAAAGAAAAAGGATATGAATTCTCAAAAAAAAAAAATAATAAAACATACGTACATAACAAAAAAATTAAAAAACACGAGCAAGTAAAAATAAGTACGTGGAACATCAGAACAATGCTTGAACCAGGAAAAATGCAAGAGATTGTCTCAGAGCTGGAAAGATACGGAATTGATGTTGCAGCAATTCAAGAAATTAGATGGGCAGGTCAAGGAGAAATAAATAAAAAAAATTACACATTACACTACTCTGGGCACGAAAAACAAGGTCAATATGGAGTTGCATTTATAACTACAGGAAAAATACAAAATAATATTATGCAATTTAAACCAATAAATGAGCGCATGGCATACCTGAGAATTAACGCCAAACCATTTAATATATCCATCATAAACGTATATGCACCAACTGAAAGTGCTGTAGCAGAGGAAAAAGATAACATCTATGAGAAACTGGAACAAGAAATTGAATCTTTACCCAAAGAAGACACAATTCTGGTAATGGGAGATTTTAACGCTCAGATAGGCAAAGCAAATAATAATGGTCAAAGATTATGCAACTTAGCAACTAGCACCAATATGATTGTCAGTAGTACAAAATTTGCACACCCTGTATACCACAAAGTAACATGGGTCTCACCAGACCAAAAAACATGGTCCCAAATAGACCATATACTCATCACAAAGAGAAAGCAACCATCGATAACAGACGTGAGAACATACAGAGGTGCACATGCAGACACAGACCATTTCATGGTTACCGCAACGTTAAGACAAAAAGTCAAAAGGACGCTAAAAAACAAGACAACAAAGGACAAATGGTAACACAGATAGAAGAATTAAATATGCAGAAGATATAAGCAAAAAACTGAAGGAATACTGTGAACATACAGAGGATGTCGAAACAGAATGGAGCAATATAAAAAAATGTATAAATAAAACAGCTTCTGAACATGTAGGGATAGAAAGAAAGAACAAAAAAGAAGAATGGTATAATCAAGACTGTCATAACATGTTAAAAAAGAAGATAGAAATGGTGGATCAGAACAAATAGACAAGAATATAAAGAAGAATACAACAAATTAAGAACAGAATGTAAGAAACAAATAAGAAAAATTAATCGAACCTGGTTAAATGATAAGATAAATGAAATAGAAAAAGAAAACACAAATAGAAACACAAAAGCATTTTATAAGAAAATTAACGTGCAGAACAAAACCTTCAAAGGAAAGATAAAAGGCATAAAGGATAGAAATGGAAAAGTATCAGAAAATGACAAAGAGTTTAAAGAAATCTGGACTGATTATTTTAAAGAATTATTAACAGTACAAGAGGACGATGACTTAAATGAAAATGTGGAAGAAGAGACCATGATGATAGAAACCGAGCTAGAAAAACCAACGAGAGATGAAGTTGAGGAAATTATAAACAGTAGTCGCAACGGTAAAGCACCAGGTATAGACGGTATAAACATGGAACTAATAAAATATGGTGGACATGAACTCAGAGAAAAAATATACCAATTAATAAAAGTCATATGGGACGAAGAAAAGATGCCAGAAGAATGGCACAAAGGACAAATAATCACAATCCATAAAAAAGGAGACCAACAAATGTGTAATAATTATAGAGGACTGACATTATTAAACACAGCGTATAAAATCATGTCAACCTTAATACAACGAAGACTGGTCAAAGCGACCACAAATATCATGGGACAGTATCAATGCGGATTTATTAGGGGAAAGTCAACAACAGATGCCATACATACGGTAAAGCAAATTATGGAGAAAGATTATGGATATAAAATAAAAATTGAATTGCTTTTTATAGACTTCCAACAAGCATTTGATTCAATAAACAGAGCGAAATTACTTACAGCTATGAGAGAAATGAAAATACACAACAAATTAAGACGATTAATAAAAATGACAATGAACAAAACCGTAGTAACTGTAAAAACACAAGAAGGAGACACAGAAGAATTTGTTATAAACAAAGGTGTACGTCAAGGAGATTCATTATCTGCAACTCTGTTTAATCTTGCCCTGGAATATATAGTCAGGAAAATCAACAAAGGTACACTTAGAACGAGAGAGGGACAAATAATAGCATATGCCGACGATATTGTGATAATAACAAAGAACAGAAAAAAAATGGATAGTATGTTAAAAGAATTGGTAGCAGAAGGGAAAGTAATGGGATTAGTAATAAATCAAGAAAAAACAAAAATATTGAGATTTGACAAAAAATATGAAAACAAAAAGGTTAGACTGGGAGAATATATATTTGAAGAAGTAGAAAAGTTTAAGTATTTGGGAATATTATTAGCAAACAATGGAGAAAGGGAAACAGAAATTAAAGAAAGGATAATTACAGCAACCAGAGATTGTGTTTACGATCAAACGCATAAAATTGCAATATCTGGGACACGTTATGAGAAATCAGCACCGTTACTCCCTGCTACAGTCTATATTGCAAGGTAAAGTCAAAGGTAAGCGAGGACCCGGTAGAAGGAGAATATCATGGCTGCGGAATTTAAGAACATGGTTTAAGAAAACCTCAACGGAGCTGTTTCGAGCCGCAGCGAGCAAGGTTATGATTGCCAATATGATTTCCAACATCCGAAACGGATAGGAACCAGAAGAAGAAGAATTACAGCAAATAAGACATACTATGCAAATAAAAAGCTTCTAAAAAATAAATTACTGAGCAAAAAATCGAAAATGAAAATATATAAAACAATAATTCGACCGACTATGATGTATGCTGCTGAAACCCTTAGCATGACAAAAAAACAAGAGGAAGACCTTAGAATACTAGAAAGGAAAATACTAAGAGCAATATTAGGACCAATAAAAATTAATGAAACCCAATATAGTCAAAGAACGAATCATGAACTACTAAACGAAATTAAAGAGGATATAGTTTGAAAAATAAAACAGCAAAGGGCAAAATGGCTAGGACATATATGGAGATCAGGACCATCTACGATAATATTCTCAATATTGGAATGGACACCAGCTGGTAAACGAAGACGTGGAAGACCAAGATCTACATGGCTACAAGAAGTAACAAACGATCTCAATGGAGAGAAAAAAACAGATAGGAAACAGTGGAGAAAAATAACAAGAAAAATTAAATAAAGAAAATGAGGACTGATCTACCTCGTAAAATAGATCTAGGGAGCTTAAGCCGCGTAACCCCGCACGGGGTGTTTAGCCACAATATATATATATATATATATATATATATATATATATATATATATATATATATATATATATAATATATTACACCAGGTGATGTATTTAGCCATTAAATACATTGCAAATCAAGACTAATATTAAGAAAAAAACTGCCATATATTGTTAAAAAAACAAAATTATCTTATTAATTTTATCGCCGAAATTAAAAAATGCTCTACTGTAAAATTGTAAATTTGGCATAGTGTCACTTTTGTTTTCAACGTGCGATAAGTAGGTGGGTGACAAAATGGAAACAGAAATGGAACGAACACATTAGTAGAATAACAGAGGATAGAATAGTACGAATAGCACGAGATAACTCACCAAATGGACGAGGAAGTATTGACAGACCAAGAAAAAGATGGTGCGACAATTTAAACAATTTAGGAGGCTAATATTCAAGAAAAAACAGGCTTTAAAGCCTACATAGAAGAAAGAAGAAGAAGAAGAAGACGTTAAGAGATCTTTTACTTTCTATAAACAAATAATAACAGAGACATAATATTATTTTTAAAAATATGAATGAAAATTTATGATTATATCGTATAATTATGATTATATTTTATGATATACAATTATTTATTGCGTTTATATTTATTTTGTGTTCAAAATCAAATATTTTAAGATATTCTATATGTTGTCGCCTTATTTGTAACAAAACCTGAAATTTAGAAAGTGTATCAAGAAATAACAATACAATTTGTTATAAATTTAAACCATACTGTATTTAACCTAAAATTAAAATTATTTTTATAAAAGTTTTAAAATACATATTGAATGCACATTTTAGACGACATTTCTTATTACATATTCTTCAACCTATAGTGACAATAGGATAAGAGGAGGGTCGTATAATCTAACTAGATTAGAAAAGGATATCTTACCAGAACTTCCTCCCGTGACTAAAGCAGTCTTCCCAACAAGACATACTTTGCTTCTACATCTTTTATTGCAAAAATTAGGAACTACTATTAATTCCACTAACAAATATAATATTATAATAATTACAACAATTGCTACACAACCCCCTGCTACAGAATACATTTTGTGTATATAAAAAATACGCTCGTTATTAATCCGTCGTTTAGTTGAAACTGATTATAAAAGCTCAAAAAAAATTTACAGATCTTTCATTTATCTGTAAAATACTTGCTACCTGCTTTATACGATACCTGTTAAGTGGAAATTCAGGATGGTAAATAAAAATCAATAACCTCTTAATGGTCTGTTTTTTTACAGCTATTTATAAGTAATAAAATGTTAATAAAACTATATTACTATATTTGAAGAATGTGCGTAAATATTAAAATATTTTAATTCTATACAAATAAATGTCGAATTAATTTTTTTAGCATAATCAGAATCCATAAACATAATCTTCAGAAATGGCCTTGAGCGCATGTGTCTGTTTGAAAAATTTTTATTACAATTTTACGCATGTCAAAAATTTCAAGGTTAATACCTTAGCATTTTTTGCGAAGTTTATATGCGAAAAGTTTATAAGTCAAATTGAAAATGATTTACATGAAATACAAAATTTTGCTTGAAAAGGAGGTATTAAACAAATAAATGAAATACAAAAAGATAACTGCCCCTTAGAAGTCATTGACTAACAACAATAAATATAACATTATGAGAGTCTGTGATATTATACCATATATACTTAGAAGAACGAACTTCATTTATAATTGATCATATTATAATGCAACATAAAATGTAGAAAAAAAACTTACTTACTTAATTACTTCATGGCGTTACAACCCTTCGTGGGTTTTAGCCGACTCGACAACATGCCTCCACTGTTTTCTGTCTTGAGCAACCTCCGTCCAATTCTCCACGTCCATAGTGCTTAGGTCTCCTGCTACATTATCTCGCCACCGGAGACGAGAGTGTCCGCGTGGTCTCCTTCCAGTTAGGACTTCCTCCCACACCAGTCTTACTGTTCGTTCGTCAGAATGTCTTCTGAGGTGTCCTGCCCATTGAAGTCTTCTGGACTTTATTTATTTTATGATGATGGCGTTTGGGTAAAGTTCTTCGAGCTCTTAGTTAGTTCTTATCCTATATTGTCCTGATGCTTCATCCAGCACAGGACCAAATATCTTCCTAGTAGGATTTTCCACTCCCAAACACATAATCTCTCTTCGTTTGCCTTTGTTATCGTCCACGTTTCGCTTCCATACATCACAACAAGTCGTATGATTGTTTTAAAGACCTGTATCTTCGTACGTCTTGTTAGGTGTTTCGATTTTATTAGGTTTTGGAGGGTAAAAAGACATCTGTTGCCAGCCTGAATCATGTTGTTTATTTCTTGCGATCCATTATTTTCTTCAGTTATTGTTGTTCCAAGATACTTGATTTCTCTAACGCACTCAAAGTTAAAGTCATTGATGGTGATGTTCTGACCGATTCTGTCTCTGCTTTGATTATTGCGGCTCATATACATATATTTCGTCTTGTTTTCATTGATTTGGAGCCCCATCTTCTCTGCTTCCTTCTCTAACCTCACGAAAGTCTCCTTCATCCTTAATCGTGTGTTTTCTATTAGATCGATATCGTCTGCAAATGTCAGTAGTAAGTTTGGTCCTTCTCGATGAAATACTGTATTCGGCTTTTCGATTCTTGCACTTCTGATTATGTGCTCCAGAGTCAAGTTAAAGAGTTGTGGTGAAAGTGCATCTCCCTGTTTTAGTCCATTGTTTATTTCAAATGTCTCCGAGAATTGTTGTCCAACTTTCTCCTTACATCGTAACCGTTCCATACACATGCGTATTAACCTAACTAGTTTTTTTGGAAAGCCAAGTTTATGCATCGCTGTCCACAGTCTGGCCTGCATACTCTATCAAATGCTTGTTTAAATCTATGAACATCTGATGAAGCTTACGATCAAACTTCTAGCATTTTTCCATTATCTGTTTTATTGTGAATGTCTGGTCAATAGTAGAGCGGCCCGGTCTAAATCCGCATTGATAATCTCCAACGATTTCTTCTGTGTATATTTTGATTCTTTCTAGCAGGATGTTTGCAAGAATTTTGTAGGTGGTGTTTAGGAGTGTTATTCCCCGGAGTTAATACATTGCTTTTTGTTTTCTTTTTTGTGTATTGGTACAATAACCCCTTTTTTCATTCATCTGGACTTGTTTCTTCTCGCCAAATGTCTTGAATTAGCTTGTATCTAGAACTGTACAACGATAATATCGCTACCTAGTGTCTTCGAAAAAAAAAACTGGAGCAAACAAAATAAGCATGGAACTTATGGAGGTATTTTGCTACACCTAGGAATGTTCTATTAATCTTTATTAGATTTAAGGTCATCCAGAGACGTCATCTGTGGTCCTTATTTTTTTATATGTCATTGGTCTTTTTCTTCTTCATATTGTGCCGTCTTTTTACGAAGGTTAGCGACCTCTTCTTTAAACGCTTCCCTATCTCTTGCAACGTGAAATATTTATTTAATACTGAGGTTAATCAAATCTCTGGTATTCCTCAGCTAAGATTTCTTAATTCTTTCCAAGCCTTTTCTTTCCTCTACCCTTTCTTGAATGATGACGTGCAGAAGATAACGTACATGATGATGTGTATACATCAGTCTACAATCTATAATAATCTAAGTTCATCTTTTTATCTAATAGTCATCATCATTACCATCATCCACTCTTAAAAGTTCACTGGTGAACATACTCATCTTTCTCGTGTTTTCAACCCCGTCCATCTTGTTTTTATTTTGTCTTCTTAAATCGTCAGCTTATCGTATAAGTGGTCGACCGACGCTTCTCTTGTTTTCTCTTATCTAAACGGTGCGCGATTTTTTCTATTTTTATGATTTTTATGAGATAAATAAAATTTATTACTTTTATTGACCGGTCACTATGTAATTTCCATTGTTACATCCCAATCTTCAAAACCTCTACCATAAAAATTCGGTTTTGAGTTTTGGCAATAAATGTGAGGCATTTGAAATATGTCTAAAAAACGATGAATTCATATTACAAACTAACTGAAACATTTAAAAATTCTCCTTTTTGATTGCCCAATTACTATTTCCGAAACTACATAATTTTAGCTACAAATTCCACTCAATATCGCATTAGGAAATCTATAGAATATGTAGAAATCAATAAAACAATAAGCAGAATGATAAAAGAAAATAAGAGAAAAGAACAAGAAATAAAAATAGAAGAAGTAATACAGAACAACAAAAATATGAAATGCTTAAGGCCGAAATTAGGTAAGTTTGAAATAAACAAAATAAAAGATGTAGATGGAGTAGAAACAAACGTTAAAGATGACATCATAAATATAATCCACCATTTCTACTCAGAATTATATAAAACAAAAAAGGAACCACCAGAAGAAATTAAAAACTAACTTAAGGTTAAAATAAAAATGTCAACTCAGAGCTACAGCCAGAAATAAGCAAATTAGAAATAAAGAAGGCATTGAAAGAAATGAAAAAAAAACAAATCGCCTGGAAAAGATGGAATAACTGCAGATATGCTGAAATATGGTGGAAAAGTGGTAATTAAGACTCTACATCCCCTTTTTAACAAGTTATTAAAAGAAAAAAGTATCCCAAACAACTGGAAGGAATGAAGGAATCAGTAACCATTATCATACACAAGAAAGGGGATAAAGCAGATATAAAAAACTACCGTCCTATAACACTCCTCAATGTAATGTATAAACTTCTAACAAAAATTTTAACCAATAGATTGACGACAAAATTCGATGGATACCAGTCGAAAGAACAAGCTGGTTTTAGAAAGGGATTCAGCACAAGTAAACATTTACTAAGTATGAAAATTATTATAGAACGAGCAAATAAATACCACATTCTTCTATATGTGGCGTTCATAGATTTCTAAAAGGCTTTCGACAGAGTCGAACATTGGGCAGTGAAAAGTTCTTTGATTAACAGCAGAATTGACCACAGATATACGGATCTAATAGCCAATATATATATATATATATATATATATATAAGCCAAAACAACAACTAAAGTATATAAAGGAACAAAATCAATACAAATAAATAGAGGCATGAGACAGGGTGATACAATATCACCGAAACATTACAATCAGGCTCTTGAAGATACTTTTAAAAGATTAGAATGGGAAGAAAAAGGTATAACAATTTGTGGACAACGCTTGAACCATTCAAGGTACGCTGATGATATCGTATTAATAACTGATAAAAAAGAAGAGTTATTTGAAATGATTAAAGAACTGGACGTAGAAGCTGGAAAGATAGGCCTCAATATGAATTACAGCAAGACCAAAACCATAACAAATACAGATGAAGACATCACAATGAGAATCGGACAAGATGAAATAGAACACGTTCAGGAGTTTATATATATAATCCTGATTTATATATATATATATATATATATATATATATATATATAAATCAGGATTATATAAGTTATATATATATATATATATATATAACTTATATAATCCTGATTTATATATATATATATATATATATATATATATATAAATCAGGATTATATAAGTTATATATATATATATATATATATATATATATATATATATATATATATATATATATATATATATCAGGATTCTTATATAATTCAGGATAATCTTCTAGTTCTTACTAAAGGCAATGCCACTGTCCTCATGGAGAGAGAACAATATCTTAGTCTCAGTCAATCACTGTTAGATGATGATAGATATTATCAACCTCTTTCTAACAACTCTTGCTCCAAATTCACTAATAAAATAAATAAATTCATAACTCACTTAAAAAACTTAAAGATCATAGATCAACCACTTGCTAAATTTTTACATAATTATGATGGATGTGCTCCCAGATTTTATTGTCTACCGAAAATACACAAGCCTGCATTGAGCACGAGACCTATTGTGTCATCCATTAATTCACCTAATATTAATATTTCAAAATTTTTAACGGACATCTTGTCTAAATCTTATAGTTATAACAACAACTTTAATATTGTTGATTCTTTTCACTTTAGTGAATTTATTAATAACTTTGAAATTCCTCAAGGTTACATTTT